AGTGACCTACAAGGCAAATTTTCCTGTCCACAGGGAACTAGAACAGACAATTTCTCTACAGGAGACTCCGCAGATGAGAGCAGGAGCGACCACAGACCTGCACTGCCCCTGCTGTCTGAGGGGCTGACTGACAGTGCAATTTGGTTCAATGATGAGAAACCACCACCCCCTGCCAGGCACAGAGAAATGAGGAAATGACAGAAAGACTCAGTCTCCTGGGTCTTTCACTGTCCCCTGCACTGCCTCTGTCTTTGCAGAAACACAAAATTTCCTGTTTTCTCTTTCACTTTTCCCTCACTGTGGGGGAATCATCCTGACCATCCCCTCCTCCAAGTTTCCAAGGAAGTGACCACCTTGAGAAAGGGCAATTGGCTCAGGAAGGGCAAGGTGAGGCCACAGAGCAGAGAACAAAGCCCAAAATGTGGGCCCTGAGCACGGTGTCCCCGAGGGACTGTGTCCTTCAGGGCCTGGACAAGGAAACACCTAGAGGTAGGATGAAACAGGGACGACATCTGCCCTGACAAGGGGCTGGGCCCCACTCCCCAAGTGGCCCAGAGACATCTGCTTATCTACTCATCCATTTTATGTGCAAGGGAACTCAGGGAGGCAAGGCCATGTGGTGGGAACTCAGAGAAAACATGGCCTCGTGTGACCCAGAAGACACGACACCCCAGAGACAGCTGCCAGAGGAGGCACATGGGGAGCTGCAAAGTGGACAGAGGCAGCCGTGTGCACTCAGGATCCTCCCTGTTATAAGGGGGTCTCCAAGGTGCTGTACAGGCAGGGCCCCCATTCTGGGCCTTGTGGGTCTTTTTCTTGGTGTCCTCATGATGGCTGGAGAAACAGGGGAGACGAATGCAGAGAGGAAGGGACTAGGGGCACCGCCTCCCCTTGGATTCCTCTCCAGTTTCTAGCCCTCTCCAGATCACAGCTGCTTTTCCTATTTGCTCCCTCTGAGGCTGTGATCATCCAGGCCCTCAGCACTCCACATGTGATTCCTAACTCACCCCACCTGGACGCACCTTAGTGAGCCCGAGAGAGACGGGGATGAGAACAGAGCAGGTGCCACTGCCCTCCCTGCTGCCCACTCTTCACCTGCAGCAGGAGGAGGCCACAGCTGGATGTTTGAGGACCTTGGCCTGGCACTGGCTTGGGCAGGACTTAGGGGTGTAGATGGAGATGTGCCTCCTGTTCCCCTCCCAAATATGGCAGCTTCCAACCCCTGTTCCAGAAGCCTTGTCACCTACATGCCTATCTGTGCAGGAGCAGTGAGGGGACCCTAGTGCCCAGACAGGAGCCCTCCCATCTCCAGCCATTGCCCCCGTTTCTCACCTGGGTCCTCTGTAGCTGATAGTTTTTTCTTGCACCAAAGGACACAGAGAATAATAATAATGACAGCCAAAGCTGCAGCAGCAGCGACAGCAACATACGGAACAGCTGCCACAGACTCTGAAGCACCAAGGCTTTCCCTGAACAATAACAAAAAAGGCTCTATTACACACTGGGCACCCAGATCTCCAGTTATGTCTGCTGTGCCCACCCTGGCCTGACCCTTTTTAGATCGGAACCCCTGAGGGCCGCCCCAGGCTCATCAGAGGGCACAGGGTGAGTGTTGTGATGCCAGCTGTGTCCCACATAGCAGATGACCCTCTGCTCCTCTCCTCGGGGAATCTTGGTGGCCGTCCAGGTCTGGTAGGTCCCATTCCCATTGGGAATAACTCTACATCAATGTCTAACACACAGGTCTGCTGTCCCAACCTTCTTGAGGAGGCAGAGTGGCTAAGTGTTGAAAGCTTTGTAGTAATTTACAAGTTAATATGGTGTGGCTGTGTCCCCACTCAAATCTCATCTTCAGTTGTAACTCCCACAGTTCCCACCTGTCATGGGAGGAACCTGGTGGGAAGTGATTGAATTATTGGGTGGGTCTTTCCTGTGCTGTTCTCGTGATAGTGAATGAGTCTCATGAGATCTGATGGTTTTATAGAAATGGGAATTTTCCTGCATGAGTTCTCTCCTTACCTGCTGCCATCCTCCTGAGATGAGACTGGCTCCTCCTTGCCTCCCACCATGATTGTGAGGCCTCCCCAGCCATGTGGAACTGTTAAGTCCATTAAACCTCTTTCTTTCTTTCTTTCTTTTTTTAAGATGGGGTTTCACCATGTTGGTCAGGCTGGTCTTGAACTCCCAACCTCAGGTGATCCGCCCGCCTTGGCCTCCAAAGTGCTTGGATTACAGGTGTGAGCCAACATGACCGGCCAACCTCTTTCTTTTGTAAATTGCACAGTCTCGGGTATATCTCTACCAGCAGCATGAAAAGACTAATACACAAGTGAAACATACTACACATTTTAATCCATTAAAGACTAGTAGGCAGCATTCACCACGAGATCATATAAGAGCCCGTGGGCCTTAAGGGAACATTTGCTGGTAGACATCTACAAACAGGGGCAGCTTGACTTCCCCTCTTCCTATTTAGATGCCTTTTATTTATTTCTCTTGTTTCATTGCTCTGGCCAGGACTTCCAGTACTCTGTTGAATAGTAGTGGTGAGAGAAGGCATCCTTGTCTTGTGCTAATTTTCAGGGGGAATGCTTCCCCCATTTGGTGTGATGTTGGCTGTCAGTTTGCCATAGATGGCTCTTATTATTTTGAGGTATGTTCCTTCAATATCTAGTTTATTGAGAGTTTTTAACATAAAGGAATGATGACTTTTATGAAAAGACTTCTCTGGATCTATTAAGATAATCATGTGGTTTTTGTCTTTAATTCTATATATGTGATGAATCACATTTATTGATTTGCATATGTTGAACCAATCTGGCATCTCGGATACGAAGCCTACTTGATCATGGTGGATTAGCTTTTTGATGGGTTGCTGGATTTGGTTTGCAAGTACTTCGTTCAGGTTTATTGCATCAATGTTCATCAAACATACTGACCTGAAGTTACCATTTTTTGTTTTGTCTCTGCCAGGTTTTGGTATCAGGATGATGCTGGCCTCATAGAATGAGTTGGGGAGGAGTTCCTCCTCTTCAATTTTTTGGAATAGTTTTGGTAGGAATGGTACCAGCTCTTCTTCATTTATCTGGTAGAGCTCAGCTGTGAATTCAGTTAATAATGTACTAGTTCACACACACACACACACACACACACATATATATATATATATATATATATATATATATAAATCTTGCAACCATTTATTCTCTGTGCAATGTCCATCTTTTATGCTATAGATATTATATGTGATGTATCTACACAGGTTATAAGCCCCACAAGTAAGCCTTCTTATTTTACCTTTAAACAGTTCTATGTATATAAAGTAAGATTAAATGGGGTGAGGGGAGCAAGAAAGCCTTTTACACTTAAAATTTACCACTTCTGACCATCTTCATCTTTTCTGATAATCTCATTTTCCACCTGGTATCATTTGCTTTTCGCCTGAATTTTTCTTTACCAATTTTTATTGTACACATCTGCTGGTGACAATTTCTCTTAATTTTCCTTTACCTGAAATATCTCCTTATTTTGCCTTTATCTTGAAGGACATCTGTACTCAATATAGAATTCTTAGTTGATGTTTTTTTTCTTCCAGCACTTTTAAGGATGTTATTCTACTTTAACGTGTTTCTGTGGTTTCTGATGAGAAATCATTGGTGAGGACAACAGGAATACAGAAACAAAAGCTGAGACATAACATTGTAGACCTAAAACCTATCATATTAATAATGACAAAAACCTATATAAATCGACACTCCAACTAAGGGCAGAGACTCTGTGAGTGGATTAGAAAAATAACCCAGGGCCGGGCACGGTGGTTCTCGCCTGTAATCCCAGCACTTTGGGAGGCCGAGGTGGGTGGATCACAAAGTCAAGAGATGGAGACCATCCTGGTCAACATGGTGAAACCCCATCTCTACTAAAAATACAAAAAATTAGCTGGGCATGGTGGCACGTGCCTATAATCCCAGCTACTCAGGAGGCTGAGGCAGGAGAATTGCCTGAACTCAGGAGGCGGAGGTTGCAGTGAGCCGAGATCGCGCCATTGCACTCCAGCCTGGGTAACAAGAATGAAACTCTGTCTTAAAAAAAAAAAATAATAATAATAATAACACAACCACATGCTCTTTTCAAGACATGTACATTTTTTTTTTTTAATTTAACTTTCATTTTTAGTTCAGGGTACATGTGCAGGTTTTTTATATAGGTAAATTTGTATTATGGGAGTTTGTTATATAATTTCTGTACCTATTAGTATTCACTTATATTAAGCCTAGCACCCATTCATTATTTTTCTTGATCTTCTCCCTCTTTCCACCCTCCACTTTCAAGTAGGCCCCAGTGTGTGTTGTTCCCCTCTATGTGTCTGTTCTCATCAATTAGCTCCCACTCGTAAGTGAGAACATGTGGTAATTGATTTTCTGTTCCTGCCTTAGTTAGCAAAGGATAATGCCCTTTAGCTCCATCCATGTTCCTGCAAAGTACATGATCTCATTCTTTTTATGGCTGCATAGTGTTCCCTGGTGCATATGTGCCACATTTTCTTTATCCAGTCTACCATTGATGGGCATTTACATTGATTCCATGTCTGCTACTGTGACTAGTGTTGCAATGAACACACATCTGCATGTAACGCACAACATGCAATTTCCATATGAAAGAACAGATAAGTAAAAATTGATGGAAAAGGGAATGCCATACAAACAGTAAGCAAAAGGGAATTGAAATTGTTATTTTATACCAGTAAAAGATTTTCAAATGATAGATATTACCAGAGAGAAAACTAAAGGGTAAATTCAACAGAAAGACATGCAACCAAAACGGGTCCAATAGCAAGCCTTCAGAGTTCATGAAGAAAAATTGACAAAATTACAGAGAGAAGTAGAGACTTCCATGAACGTGATTAGACATTTTAAAGCTTTCTTTCAGCTATAAATACAAAAACTAAGAAAAATTTAGCAAAGATATAGAAAACTGAAAAACATTATTAAGCACCCAGGCTTAATTTACTTATATATGTAGGCACATCAATGAAAAATATATATTATCTCAAATATGAATGATACATTTACCAGGAGAAACCATATTTCAGGTCATAAGACACATTGAAACATTGAAATAACACAGAATACATTTTCTAGCCATACTGGAAATACGTTAGAAATCTATAACAACAAGATAACCCTGTGGGACTGAATTGTTTTGTCACCCTTAAACTTGTAACTGAAATCTGATCTCTACTGTGATGGGGTTTGGAGGTAGAGCCATTAGGAAGTGATCATGCAGTGAAGGCAAAATCCTCATTATAAAATGAATGTCCTTACAAAAGGGACCCCAGAGAGCTCCTTGCCCCTTCCACCTGTGAGGACACCAAGAAAAGGCAACATCCATGAATCAGGAAGCAGCCCTCACCATGCACTGACTCTTCCCAGGTCTTCATCTTTGACTTCCCAGCCTCCAGAACTGTGAGAAATAGAGTTCTGTTGTTTGCCACAAAGACTGTGATATTCTATAATTACTGCCCAGATTGACTAGGAGAGACAATCATGAAAATACCAAGTATTGGAAATTAAACATCAAAATTCTAAATAACAATTTATTCAAAAAGGAAATCACAAGAGAAATTAGAAAATCTGTTTTCTGAAGGATGACGAAACACAATATATCAAATGTAGTTGAAGCAGTGCTAGAGAAAAAAACCAAAATCCTTAAATGCCTATATTAAGAAAGAAGGTAGGTCTCAAATTAGTAAATTAGCTTCTGCTGTAAGAAACAAAGAAGAACAAATTAAACCAAAGCATGCAGAAGAAAGGAAATAATAATGAAATAGAAAAAAATGAAGCAGAAAAATAGAGAAAATTAATGAACCCAAATATTGGTTCTGTGGTGAAAAAATCAGTATACTTTAAAAATTTCTAGCTAGATTGATCAAGACAAAAAGATACACATTAACAAGATCAGGAATAAAAGACAGAACATCAGTGCACACTCTAGATCTCAAAAAGAAACACTGATAATCTCATGTCAATAAGTTTGACAAACAAATGAACAATTTCCTTGAGAGAGAAAACTTAGGAAAAATTGACCTGAGAAGAGATAAAAATGTGGCCAGTCATTTATTGATTTTAGAAATTGAATTTGTAACCAAAATCCTTCTCCTCTAGGAAACTCCAGGCCCAGAGGGCTTTACTGATGAATTATATTAAACATATAATTCAGAAATAACATCACATACCATTTAAAGGAGGCAACAATTTTCAATTCAATCTATGAAGCCAGCTGTATTAGTCTGTTTTCATGCTGCTGATGAAGACATACTCAAGTCTCAGAAGAAAAAGAAGTTTAATTGGAATTACAATTCCACATGGCTGGGGAGGCCTCAGAACCATGGCAGGAGGTGAAAGGCACTTTTTACATGGCAGAGACAAGAGAAAATGAAGAAGATACAGAAGCAGAAACCCCTGATAAAACCATCAGATCTTGTGAGCCTTATTAAATACCATAAGAACAGTATGGGGAAACAGCCCCCATGATTCAAATTATCTCCCATTGGGTCCCTCCCACAACATGTAAAAATTGTGGGAGTGCAATTCAAGATGAGATTTGGGTGGGGACACAGAGCCAAACCATATCATTCTGCCTCTTGCCCCTCCAAATCACATGTCTTCACATTTCAAAACCAACCCTTCCCAACAATCCTCCAAAGTCTTTCCTTATTTCAGCATTAACCCAAAAGTCCACAGTCCAAAGTCTCATCTGAGACAAGGCAAGGCCCTTCCACCTATGAGCCTGTAAAATCAAAAGCAAGCTAGTTACTTCTTAGATACAATGGGGGTACAGATATTGGGTAAATACAACCATTCCAAATGGGAGAAATTTGCGAAAACAAAGGAGTTACAGGTCCCAAGCAAGTCCTAAATTCAGCGGGGCAGTCCAACTCTAAAGCTCCAAAATGAACTCCTTTGACTCTGTGTCTCACATTCGGGTCATGCTGATGAAGAGGTAGGTCCCCGTATCTTGGGCAGCCTGCCTGGGTGGCTTTGCAGGTATATGCCCCCTCCTGGCTGCTTTCACAGTTTGGTGTTGAGCGTCTGTGGATTTTCCAGGTGCAAAGTGCAAGCTGTTGGTGGATCTACCATTCTGGGGTCTGGAGCATGGTGGCCCTCTTCTCACAGCTCCACCAGGTGCCCTAGTAGGGACTCTGTGAGGGGGCTCCAGCCCCACATTTCCCCTCCACGCTGCCCTAGCGGAGGCTCTCCATGAGAGCCCTGCCTCTGCAGCAAACTTTTGCCTGGGCATCCAAGTGTAGGGTGCCAGTCCCCACACCCCACCCATGGGTACCCTGAGTTAGGTGGCGACAAACGAATGAGAAAAAGACAGACTAAGAATGAAAGTGGGACCAAGGAACTGTCACTTGTAATGGAGGCAGTGAAGGCCCTGAGCGTAGGCCCCACAGTATTTACTGTTTACAATCACTTTAAGCAGTCAGCAGACGGTGGGGTGAAGGTGAGGTGGTAGTGGGGAGGGGGTGGCGTGACGGTGGAGCGGTCTTCAGTGAACAGGAACTGGCACGTCATTCTAAAGACTGCTAGCCATGCGGCTTTGTGGGAGACTCTGAAAAGCAGAAGCATGTGGTTATCTGTAGATTGCATTCTAGGCATAGCTGGAGGGAGTGAGTCTCACAAGGAGTCTACGAGTCTGGTGACTTTGTAATGCTACAGAAGGGGTCTTAAGTCCTTGAGCATGTTATGTACTGTAACAGAGCGAGGTCACTCTACACCTGGAACATGAAGGCTTAGGGAAGTTTCCCGCCCCAGAGGTCTGACACAGTTAGCCGCGGTTTACCGTTCCAGTACTTGTAACCATTTTATGTAGGCACTCTGTAAGCCCTTCCTCCATTGCTGTTTCCCCCAACACTCAAGCATTTCCATACGTCTTCTGAAATCTAGGTGGAGGTTTCAAACCTCCATTCTTGACTTTTGTGCACCTGCCGGATCAAAACCACATGGAAGCTGCCAAGGTTTAAAGGTTGCACCCTCTGGAGCCATGGGCCAAGCTATACCTTGGCTCCTTTCAGAAACAGTGGAAGGAGCTGGAATGCAGGTCACTAAGTCTGTAGGCTACACATGGCATGAAGACCCTGGGCCCCACCCATGAAACCATTTTTCCCTCCTATGATAGGAGGGGCTGTGATAGGAGGGGGTCTGTGATAGGAGGGGCTGCCCTGAAGACCTCTGTCGTGCCCTGGAGACATTTTCCCCATTGTCTTGGGGATCGACGTTTGGCTCCTTGTTACTTATGCATATTTCTGCAGCCAGCTTGAGTTTCTCCCCCAAAAATGAGTTTTTCTTTTCTACTGCATTGTCAGGCTACAATTTTCTGAAGTTTTATGCTGTTTCCCTTTTAAAATGGAATGCTTTTAACAGCACCCAAGTCAACCTTTGAATGCTTTGTTGCTTAGAAATTTCTTCCACCAGATACCATAAATAATCTCTCTCAAGTTCAAAGTTCCACTAATCTCTAGAGCAGGGGCAAAATGCCACCAGTCTCTTTGCTAAAATATAACAAGAGTCACCTTTGCTCCAGCTCCTAACAAGTTGGCCGTCTGCACCTGAGACCACCTCAGCCGGGACCTTGTTGTTCATATCACTATCAGCATTTTTGTCAAAGCCATTCAGCAAGTCTCTAGGAGGTTCCTGTTGAAAAACGTGTGCTTTGAATGAAGAGACTTTTTAAACAGGCTTTGTGTGAGCAGCATGGCTGTTTATTTACCTGGGTGCAGGTGGGCTAAGGCCGAAAAGGGCATTGGAAAAGGGTAGTGGAACTAGGAGTTGGTTTTATAGGTTTGGGTAGTTTTTTTGGGCGGTGGGGGTGTTGCAGAGTAAGTTTAGTTCCAGTGGTGGGGCTAGGGGTAAGGAGTATACAAGATCGCAAGTTCAGTTACAATGGCAGGGTTAGGTGAGAGGTATTTACTTGATCACAACTGTTAAGAAGGCAGGGTTGGGTGAGAGGTATTTACATTATCATAAGAACAGTTAAGATGGCAGAGTTGGGTGAGGGGCTTGTCGGGGGGGGGGGGCTCTGATGGGCTGGGCAATTAGGGACAATGGCAAACCCAGTCGGGGGGGTGGGTGGGAGATATTAGCCAGAGCAGGCAGGACTTCAGATTTTCGGGCTCCAGGCTTGCATATGGAGACCTGACATACTGTTTTTCTTAATATAGAGAGGGAAAGAATTAGAAAGAGGGGTTGATAACAGGTTTTAGGGAGTCGGGGCGAAGTTTCTCAAGGCTTCTTTGAGTGGGATTGGGGGCAGCGTGGAAACCTAAAAATGAGAAAGAATTTTGACTGCTGGGAGATTTTGGGGCAAAGGGTAATATTGCGGGGTTGTTAGAAGGAGCATTTGTTGTATTGACTGATTGGTGATTGCTTCTGTATGATTTTGTAGGAATTGAGAGATTAATAGGAAAAACACAGGGTTTAAATAAGAGAAGGAGAAAGATAGTATTAGAGAAGGTTAACTGTGTGGAGGGAGAGCTTTTGTTTTTACAGTGTATGAGGAAGCTCGTGGTATTTATAAGCAACCATTCACTTTTATTAACAAGATTGGGTTTGAGCAGAGAATGGGAGCCAGATTAAGAGCAAAATATTAGCTGTAATTGCCTGGAGGAAAAGTGTAAACCGGCAACTTAAACAAAAGCAGGGCATGTAAAAGTCAATGAGTACAGTGAATTTGAGCACAGTTAGACAGAAAATCATAGTGAGGAAGGAGACCCAGGCATCTGGGATCACCTCCCCCCTTGACTTCCACACTGCATTTCAATAGGAGAAAAGGCTGGCTGACTGGCGCCTCCTGAATCACCTTCCTGTAGATGGCAGGCTTGGTATTGGGGGAACTCTCCAGAAGACACTGTTTTTACTTAAATGAGATCAAACCCCCCACCCCACTCCTCCATCCACAGACCAGAACCTTTTCACATGTGATTCCTAAAACTGTAAACCCGAAACCCTTTCATATGTGATTCCTAAAACTGTAAACCCGAAACCCTTTCATATGTGATTCCTAAAACTGTAAACCTGAAATCCTTTCATAGGTGATTTCTAAAACTGTAAACCCGAAACCTTTTCACATGTGATTCCTAAAGCTGTAAATCCAAAACCCTTTCACTCATGATTTCTAAGGCTGTAAACCTGAAATTCTTTCGTGTGTAATATCTAGAGTGTAAGCCTATATAAAGGCAGAACCTTCCTTTGTTAGACCAGCTGGGTTGGCAGACGGAAGGAGAGAGCCTCTCAGGTGATTTGCCTAGCCCTTTAGAGCATCCCTGCAGGGGGCTCCTGCCCACTGGGGCGACATGGTTCCTGGGCAGGTATTTGCCTGGTGGAAAGCGTCGCCAGAGCAGAGAAGGAAAGCCCCTGCAGTGTGGATCCACCCAGTGGCTGAACACTAAGAAGGAACGGATACTTGGAACGTCTGAACAATAGAAATATGGCAGGATTGATCCCGGGGAAGATAGCCCACCTCCTCTAGGTGAAAGCATAGGCTGATCACCCACATGTGCCAGGTTTAGCACTTTTGAACTTGGCTCTCTCTCTCTCTTCCTTTGTAACTAACCTTGGAAGCCTTTTGCTTATGGTTTTGATTTGGGTGGAGGAAGGAGAGTGGTTGTGTGTGTGTGTGTGTGTGTGTGTGTGTGTGTGTGTGTAGAGGGATCCAGCTGGACTCCTCAGTTGTGAAAGGTGGGAGTAACGGGCCCATTAGAAGGAGGGACCTCATGTGTCAAGCAATTTGTAGGGCTAGTTGGAATTAGAGACAGCCACATAAGGCTGAGTGGAGAAGCCTTTGCCATCTAGGCGTTGTGGAAGGATTTGAAGTGAATGTAAATTGGAGAGTGCTGCATCTCGCTGGGTGGGAACTGCTGTGGGTGAAGTAACACTCTCTTAACTATGAGAATTGCTTCTTTGGAGCGTAAGCATGGGTCACTCTCACAGCAAGCCCACCCCTTCAGAGACCATGCTGAAAAATTTCAAGAAAGGATTTAGTGGGAATTATAGAGTAGCTATGACACCAGAGAAATTAAGGACTTTATGTGAGATAGATTGCCCAGCATTTGGGGTAGGTTGGCCCCCGAAGGGGACCCTAGACAGGTCTTTTGTCTCCAGAGTAAGGCACGAGGTTATATGTGACAAGCTAGAACACCTTGATCAATTTCTGTACATAGATTCATGGTTGCAGTTAGTTTTGAACGCTTCGAAGTGGTTAGGAGGACAGACAGCATCTATTTTAGTGGCCAAGGGATAGACTGCTAGAAACCACCATTCCCCCCCACTGACAGACGCAGACTTCCAAGGGTCTGGCAGCTCCAGTGGCAGGAAAGTTTTTGATACCAAGGAGCCACAGGCTCTCGCTGACCTACTGCAAACAATTATTCAGACTCATAACCCCACTCCTGCTGATTACCATCAGCTGCTTATGTATCTTTTTAACACAAGCTAGAGACTAGGTGACGAGTTTCACATGTATACTTCTTTTGCTTCTAAAAGCCCTGAAGACCAACGCATAGAAAATATGACATTGGAAGGACCTGTGCCCCAGCTAATAGGAAAACAGGGAGACCCTGAGCACAGGGCTTCAAACAAACGTGAAGGGGCTCTGTTCAAGCTAATGAAAAGGGCACTGGACTAAAGGAGAGGGAGGCTGGACTCATATGACCCCAAAGAGCCCATGGTCCGAACGACAGCCCTGTAAACCTGAAACCCTTTCATATGTGATTTCTAAAACTGTAAACCCGAAACCCTTTTACTAGTGGTTTCTAAGGCTGTAAACCTGAGATTCCTTCATGTGTAATATCTAGAGTGTAAGCCTATATAAAGGCAGAACTTTCCTTTGTTAGATGAGCTGTGCTTAGACAAATCATCGCCTGGCTCCTGGCCATAATAATAAACCTCTTCCTCCCCTTTGGTGTTGGAGAGCTCTGTTTCTTGCAGCAGCTCCTGCTACAATAGACAGACTTTTTGAGGTGTGGTTTAAGTAGCAGGGCGACTGCATAAAGGTGGAGAAGGTGAGGGGCTGAAAGTTAAGTGTGTGAGGTGTAAAGAGAAAACTTTGGAGGTTATGAGAGCTAGAGGGTAAATGGGGCATAGCCTGTGATTTTGAGGGATTTTAAGAGTATTAGGGCAGCAGCTGCTCCTGCGTGTTGTTGTGAGAACCAGCCCAGGACTGTTGGGTTAAGTCGTTTGGACAAAAAGGCTACAGGCCATGGGCCTGGCTCCTATGTGAGAATCCCAACCGTACAGCCCTGGATTTTAGCAGTATATAACGAAAAAGTGTTGAGACAGGTTGGGGAGAGCTAGGGAGGGAGCAGTTTTTAGAGCTGTTTTTTACGGAGTGAAAAGAGGCATGAGGAAAGGATTTAGGATTAATAGGGTTGGGTAAGTTTTCTTTTGTGAGTTTATACAATGGCTTAGTTAGAATAGCGAAACCTGGTATCCAGAGGTGAAAGTAGCAACCACACCCAGGAAGGAGAAGCTGTTGTTTGGTGGATGGGGTTGGGGTTTGGGAAATTAAATGGATACGGTTGGCAAGGAGGGCGTGTGTATGCTGGTGAAAGATTATAACAGATGGGAAAGAAATTTGGGCTTTGGAAGGGGATACATGATACCCCTTTGAGTATAAATGCTGAAGAAGCAGGAGGGTGAATTAAAAGACCCTGTTGCAATAGATGGATGATAACAGGCTTTACATTTAAAGGCTGTTGTGGGATGGGGTACTGGAGCTGCTCAGATAAGGGTGGTTAGGTTTTAAGGGGATGATGAGGGATGAGTGACTTGTAGCAACGGATGGGAAGGCGGTGTTTTACACCCTAGGGTTAAGGTGGGGGAACATAAAGGAAGCTATTGAGGGAGGTACGGGTTTGGGGAGGAGGGCGGCAATGAGGTGTGGCTGTAGCCCAGGAACAGTTAAGGAGGCAGACAATTTTGCTAGGATATTTTGGCCTAACCGGGGAACTGGACAAGTGGGGATGATTAGGAAAGAATGTGGAAAGGAGTGCTGGCCTAATTGACACCAGACTTGGTGAGTTTTGAGAGGCCTGGAGGTCTTGCCGTCAAATCCCACAACAGTTATGGAGGCCCAGGAGACAGATTCTTGGAAAGAATGCAGCATGGGGTGGGTGGTCTCCGTGCTCATTAAGAAAGAGATGGACTTACCCTCCACCGTAAGTGTTACCCGAAGTTTGGCGTCCATGATGGTCCAGGGGGCTTCCAAGACGCTAGGACAGTGTTAGTCTTAAGCCACCGAGCTGAGGGTTGGAGCTCCAGGAGCTCTGGGAGCAGCGACGTGAGTCAGACAGTTGACTTTTTGTGGGGGCCCTGCACAGACAGGGCAGGGCTTAGGAGAAATCCCGGGCTGTGGGCATTTCTTGGCCCAGTGGCCAGATTTCTGACACTTGAAGCAAGGTTTGGAAGGGGCAGCTGGATGTGCTGCAGTCTGGGGGCTTTGAAGTCTTTGAGAGCCAGTGGTGTGGCTGGGGTTTGTCTTACAGAAGAGGCAAGGATCTGTAGTTTTGAGGTGTGCTGCCGCTGGGCAGATTTTTCCCTATAATTGAACACCTTGAAGGTGAGGTTGCTTAATTCCTGTTGTGGGGTTTGAGGACCAGATTCTAATTTCTGTACCTTTTTTGTAACGTTGGGGTTGATTGGATGATAAAATGCATATTAGACAGTTTTTAGGGCTGAGAGTAGAAGTAAGGATGACATTTAAGTTACTCCAGGTGAGATTACAGGACTGGGTTAAGTATTGGAGGATTTGATGAAAAGGAGCCTAACTCGTGGCCAATTTGGAAAGGTTGGATAAAGGAAAAGGAACATGCACCCTAACTATGCCTTTGGCTCCAGCCACCTCTGGAAAGGGTAATTGTTGGGCAGGGGCAGAGGAGGTAACTGCAGGACTAAACTGTAAGCTGGGCCACGTATGAGGTGGGGAGGTGACAGGAGGGGCATAAGGAGGTGGGTTGTGGGCAGAGGAAGAGGAGGAAGGCTCTGGGGGTTGGGGTTAGCTTCCAGATTAGGGCCTGGTTTGGACAGGTGGGGAGGAGAAAGTTTGGAAGAGTTGATGGACAAGGAAGATTCTGGCTTACCAGCAGAGGAAGGAGGGGCAGACGGAAAGGAAGAGAAGGAGGGAGGGATAGGTGTGTCAAAAAATGCCTGGACGTAGGGAATTTTCGACCATTTGCCCGTGTTGCGACAAAAATTGTCTAAATTTTGTAAAATAGAGAGGTTGAAAGTGCCATTTTTTGGCCAAATGGAGCTGTTGTTTAACTTGTATTGTGGCCATGCAGTGTTACAGAGGAAGATGAGATATTTGGGGTTTAGGTCAGGAGACAATTGAAGAGGCTTGAGGTTTTTTAGAACACAGGCCAATGGAGAGGAGGGAGGGATAGAAGACGGACGATCACCCATGGTTCTGGAAAGGCAGCAGAGACAAGGAAAATGGGCACGCAACCCAGCTGCTCAACAGGCATCCCTAGTTGAGCCTGTGTTCAAAAGAGAGTCCTCTGTGTTGACCTGCCACCAATATCGGCCACGAGCCTGGTGGGCGAGTGACTAGGGTGAACATCTCCACGATAGTCAAACCCCTTGGGAAACTGGGTTCCCAGATCTGTGACCTATGTAGGATTTTCTGGTCATGAGCATCATGCAAGAACTTGGTTTACCTGATTTTCCTTGTCTTTGCAGTGGAAAAAGGATGAAACCAAAAGGGGGAGGAAGTGGAAAGGAAAAGACAAAAGTATGGGAAAGCAAAAAAGAGAGACTGCTTACCAAAATAGCCGGTGGTGTGCATCTGTGGGCTGGTCTGATGACCTCAGGTCGGTAGGTAGATCTCTCTCTTCATGGAGGGAGCACAAGAACAGTGTTGGGGTTTTGGTCTCTCGTAGGAGTTTCCCCGTCCCAGGTTTCAGCACCAAATGTTGAAAAATGCATGCTTTGAATGAAGAGACCTTTTAGGCATTGTGTGAGCAACATGGCTGTTTATTTACCTGGGTGCAGGTGGGCTAAGGCCGAAAAGGGCATTAGAAAAGGGTAGTGGAATAGGAGTTGGTTTTATAGGTTTGGGTAGATTTTTTGGGGGGTGGGGGTGTTGCAGAGTAAGTTTAGTTGCAGAGTAAGTTTAGTGGTGGGTGTTAGGGGCAAGGAGTATACTTGACCACACGTTCAGTTACAATGGAAGGGTTAGGTGAGAGGTATTTACATGATCATAACAGTTGAGAAGGCAGGGTTGGGTGAGAGGTATTTACATTATCATAAGAACAGTTAAGATGGCAGGGTTGGGTGAGGGGCTTGTTCAGAAAGCTCATGTGGGCAATTAGGGACAATGGCGAATGTGGGGGGGGGACGGGAATATTAGCCAGGGCAGGCAGGACTTCAGACTTTCGGGCTCCAGGCTTGCACATGGAAACCTAACAGTTCCGAACTTTCCCACATTTTCCTGTCTTGCTCTGAGCCCTTCAAGCTGTTCCAGCCTCTGCTTGATACCCAGCTTCAAAGTCACTTCCACATTTTCAGGCATCTTTTCCGCAGCACCCCTCTCACTGGTACCAATTTACTGTATTAGTCCATTTTCACCCTGCTGATAAAGACATACCCAAGACTGAGAAGAAAAAGAGGTTTAATTGGACTTACAATTCCACATGGTTGGGAAGGCCTCAGAATCATGGTGGGAGGCAAAAGGCACATCTTACATGGCAGCAACAAGAGAAAATGAGGAAGCTGCAAAAGCAGAAACCCCTGATAAAACCATCAGATCAAATGAGACTTATTCACTACCACAAGAACGGTGTTGGGAGAACTGACCCCATGATTCAAATTATCTACCACTGGGTCCCTCCCATAACACGTGGGAATTATGAGAGTGTAATTCAAGATAAGATTTGGGTGGAGACACAGAGCCAAACCATATCACCAGCAGTATCCAGATAGAAAACCCAGACAAGAACATCACAAGAAAAAGAATCAAGAACAAATTTTCCTCTTAAATACAGACTCATAATTCTTTCTTTTTTTTTTTTTAAAGACAGGATTTCACCATGTTGATCAGGCTGGTCTTGAACTCCCAACCTCAGGTGATCCGCCCACCTTGGCCTCCAAAGTGCTTGGATTACAGGCGTGAGCCACCATGCCCGGCCAGACTCACAATTCTATACAAAACCTTATCCAATTAAGATATACATAAAATGAATAATATGCCGTGTCACATTGGTCTTTTTCATGGGAAAGTAAGGTTGGTTTAACATCTGAAAATTAAACAACACAATTCACCCAATTAATAAAACAAAAAACAAATGTTATACAATTATTGTAATAGATGCAGAAAAAGCACTTGCAAAAATAAAGACCACTTCATGACAAAATATCTCAGTAAACTAAAAATCGAAAGGAATATCTTCGATGTGGTTAAGAACATGCACAAAATGTTTACAGCTACCGTCATCTTCAATTATGAAAGGCCAGATGCTTCCCTCCTAAGATGAGCAACAAAGCAAATATACGGCTCTCCTCATTTTTGTTTAAATACCCTATGAGCATCCTGACCACTGCAATGTTGCAAGAAAATGAAATAAAAGACCAATAAAAGGACCAGGTATGGTGCCTCATGCCTGTAATCCCAGTACTTTGGGAGGCCAAAGTGGGACAATCACTTCAGTTCAGGAGTTCGAGACTAGCCTAAGCAACATAGTGAACCCCTGCCTTTACTAAATATCAATAACTTCAAAAAGAAAAAAAAATAGGAAAGGAAGAAATAAAATTTTTCTTTCTCAGCTTAGTTGCATATGTAGAATATCATAAAGAATTCTGGAAAAATTTCTGGAATTAATGATTAAATTTGCAAAATTATTCACAAAAGATATGTAGTTTTTCTTTCTTTCTTTCTTTCTTTTTTTTTTTTAGTAGATACAGGGTTTCGCCATGTTGGCCAGGTTGGTTTTGAACTCCTAACCTCAAGTGATCTGCCCACCTCACCACAAAAGATATGTAATAAGTCTCTTAGACAAACATGACAAGATAGCAATGATACTAGTTATCAAAGAAGTGCAAGTTAAAACCACAGTGAGAAACTATCACACATCACCTAGAATAGGTAAAGTTAAAAAGACATATGGTAAGTCTGAATACTGGTAAGAATATGGAAAAAATTAAAATTTCTTAATATTGTTGATAGGAATGCAAAAACAGTTGCAGTCAATTTATAAAATAGTATCACAATTTCTTAAACAGCTACCCATCCACTTACCATGACCCAACAAACCACAAATATTTATTTATCCAAAGGAAATGAAAATGTAAGGCCATGCAAAGACGTGTAGTGGCTTCATTAATAACAGACCCTAACTGGAAATAACTCACATGTCTATCAGCTGGAGAATAAAGAAACCAGTGAATAAACTGGAATTCCAATAATACTCAGCAGCTACTCAACAACAAAAATGAATGAAATGTTATTACTCTTAACCACATGGAATAATCTCAAACATTGTTATGCTAAGTGAGACCAAACAAAGGACCACATAACATATGATTGCATGTCCAAGAAATTCTAGAAATTTTATTATTACACTAACAGAAGCAGAGCAATGGTTGAGTGAAGGGAAGGGGGTCAGGGTGGGAGGCAAGGATTAAATTGAAAGGGGCATGAGGAAAGTTTTTAGGGAAAAGAAACTGTTCTTTAGGCAGTGTGGTAGTTACATGACTATAAATGATTATCAATATTCATCAAAAATGCAGCTAAAACTGGTGAATTTTATTATACATAAATGCCCCACTAAGAAAAAGAAAAAGGGTGAGGGAAGAAGGCAAAAATGAAGACACTTTTACATCATCAAAAACAGAAAATTCATTTCATAGGGGTCTTGTACTACATATAATTTTAAAGGAAGCTCTTCAGGCTGAAGGGAAGTGACTCTAGATGGTGAAAGGGACAACTAACAACAGAAACGATGCACACACACATATCACACACACACTCATTTTCTTAATGACAATATGAGGCTTAAAACAAAAAGTATTACTGTATTATTGAGTTTATAAGTATATTGATATAATATATACAACAATAATAGCATAATGGTAGGTTAAATGAAGCTGCATTGTTACATGTGTCCTTTAATTTGCTGGATGGAGCTTAATATAACCTAAACTTCACTGTGAAAAGTCAAGAAATCAGACTTCAATTCTTAACAACAATAAATTAGTGTAAATAAATATAGCTAAAAGCCACTAGGAGAATTAAAACCATAAACTAAAAAATGTTTACTTGACATATAAGAAAGCAGCAAAGGAGGAACAGAAACAAAAACATGTGGGACAAATTGAAAACATATGGCAAAATGGTAGACCAGAATCCAGCCATTGTAAGTGAAGAAATGACACGACCTGAGTCACATTAGCAGGACTGTTAGGAACTGTGGGGAGAACAGACATGGGCAGGAAGTGAGGGACGGTGTTAGTGCCACAATTCAGGAGTGACAGGGTGGTGGGGACTAAGGGGAGGGGAGGGTGTGAGGGATGACAGGGGCAGAGAGAAGGGATGGAGAAGCAGGAGGTGAGGAAAAGGGGAGGGGAACAAATTCTAAAACAGTGGAAGAGCCTAGCAGGGGGTTCTTTGCATTCATATTTAATACATTTTGTGGGACTGCCTAAAAACTAATGGTCTCCTTATGATAAAAAACAAAAGGGTAAAAAAATACCAAGTATCCAAATAAAATAAGCACACTGCTTAGATATGCATAATTCATTAAAACAGGCAGTGCTTAAGCATTGATGACGGGCATTTTTACTTCATTGCAATTTTGACGATCCTGGTTACAATATACAGTAACAAATCCCGCATCTTTATATTGAGATGTCCTGGACTCATACAGGAAAACTCAGGGTATGGAATGAAGACAATTTTAAATGCAACAACCCAGAGTCGCGGATCCATAGTCTGGAAAAGTAAAACTTAGGAGCTTTGTGAGTCGAACTGCCTTGCTGTTTGGACACGCTTATATACGAAGCAGCCAAAACCAGGTCTTTTACAGATTAGAATCCTGATCATTCAGGGGTTACCAAGATTGTGCTAACCACTGTATTAATAAACAAATAAAAAAGCCTGGTCTCTACGGGAATCTCTGTCTGGTGCTTTCAGTCACAACTTCACCAGGTTTAAAGAGAAAACCCCTTTCTCTACACTTCCATTCTTCGGGCAAGCGCACTCTCCCATCAAGTTCCCTGGGGTAAATTTTCTTCTGGAATAGTCCAAGGGAAGAGGTGAGGAGTGGGAGGTCTAGTTCAGGGAGAAGTATTCCAGGATGAGGGTGAAAAGGAAGGGGCTGGGCGCAGCCTGGGGGTCTCTCCCTGGTTTCCACAGACAGATCCTCGGGCAGGACTCTTGGCAGACAGTGTGACAAAAAGGCTTGGTGTAGGAGACGAGGGATCTGGACAAAGTCCGAGGTCCGGGGCCTGACTCTCAGGGTCTCAGGCTCCGAGGGCTATGACTGCACTGGGGAGGCGCAGCGTTGGGGAGTCCCCACTCCCCGGAGTTTCACTTCTTATCCCAACCTGGGAGTCCTTTTTCCAGGATACTCAAGACGTGGCCCCGCTTCTCACTCCCATTGGGTGTCGGGTTTCTAGAGAAGACAAGCAGCGTCGCCGCGGTCCCGGTTCTGAAGCCCCCAGTCACCCACCAGACTCTCATTCTCCCCAGACGCCGAGGCTAGGGTCATGGCGCCCCGAACCCTCCTCCTGCTGCTCTCGGGGGCCCTGTTCCTGACCGAGACCTGGGCGGGTGAGTTCGGGGTCGGGAGGGAAACGGCCTCTGCTGGAGGAGCTAGGGGCCCGCCGGGCTGGGGGTACAGGACCCGAGGAGCGGCGCCGGGCGGAGGTTCGGGCGGGTCTCAGCCCCTCCTCGCCCCCAGGCTCCCACTCCATGAGGTATTTAGTCGCCTCCGTGTCCCGGCCCGGCCGCGGGGAGCCCCGCTTCATCGCCGTGGGCTACGTGGACGACACGCAGTTCTTGCGGTTCGACAGCGACGCCGCGATTCCGAGGATGGAGCCGCGGGCGCCGTGGATGGAGCAGGAGGGGCCGGAGTATTGGGACCGGGAGACACCGAGAGCCAAGGCCGCTGCACAGACTGACCGAGTGAACCTGCGGACCCTGCTCCGCTGCTACAACCAGAGCGAGGCCGGTGAGTGACCCCGGCCCGGGGCGCAGGTCACGACCCCTCCCCATGCCCCACGGACGGCCCGGGTGGCTCCCGAGTCTCCGGGTCGGAGATCCACCCCGAGGCTGCGGGACCCCCCCCTCCCCCCAGACCTTCGACCCGGGAGGGTCCGGGTTTCATTTTCAGTTTGGACCAAAATCCCCACGGGTTGGGCGGGGGCGGGGCTGACCGCGGGGGCGGGGCCAGGGTCTGACACCCTCCAGTGGATACACAGCTGCGACCTGGGGCCGGATGGGCGCTTCCTCCGCGCGTATGAACAGTTTGCCTACGACGGCAAGGATTATATCGCCCTGAATGAAGACCTGCGCTCCTGGACCGCCGCAGCCACTGCGGCTCAGATCACCCAGCGCAAGTGGGAGGCGAACAAATACTCAGAGCAGGTCAGGACCTACCTGGGGGGCACGTGAGTGGAGTGGCTCCGCAGACAACTGGAGAGCCGGAAGGAGACGCTGCGTCACGCGGGTACCAGGAGCGCCTCCCTCACCTCCTGTACACCTCCTGGGCGGGGCTCCCGCCAGGAGGGTAGGAAAATGGGACCAACACTAGAATATCGTCCTCCCTCTGGTCCTGAATGGGAAGAATTCTGGATTTCTAGAGCCTGTACCAGAGACTGACTCTGAGGCCCCGCCCTGCTCTCTGGGACAATTAAGGGATGAAGTCTCTGAGGGAGTGGAGGGGAAGCCAATCCCAGGAATACTGATCAGCGGTCCCCTTTGACCCCTGCAGCAGCCTTGGGCACCAGGACTTTTCCTCTGGGCCTTGTTCTCTCTCTCACAATCAGTGTGTTTGTGACTCTGATTCCAGCTCTTCTGAGTCCCTCAGCCTCCACTCAGGTCAGGACCAGAAGTCCCTGCTTCTCCACTCAGAGACTCGAACTTTCCAAGGAACAGGAGATTACCGCAGGTGCCTGTGTCCATGCTGGTGTCTGGGTTCTGTGCTCCCTTTCCCAGCCCAGGTGTCCTGTTCATTCTCAAGATGGTCACATGGGTGCTGCTGGGATGTCCCATGAGAGATGCAAAGTGCCTGAATTTTCTTTTTCTTTCTTTTCTTTTCTTTCTCTTCTTTTCTTTTCTTTTTGACGGAGTCTCACTCTGTTACCAGGCTGGAGTGCAGTGGTGGGATCTGGGCTCACTGCAACCTCCGCCTCCTGTGTTCAAGCGATTGTCCTGCCTCAGCCTCCCAAGTAGCTGGGATTACAGGCATGTGCCACCAACAGGCATGCCAGCTAATTTTTGTATTTTTAGTAGACATGGGGTTTCACCATGTTGGCTAGGATGGTCTCGATCTCTTGACCTCGTGGTCTGCCCACCTTGGCCGCCCAAAGTGCTGGGATTATAGGCGTGAGCCACCACGCCCGGCTAGTGCCTGAATTTTCTGACTCTTCCCCTCAGATCCCCCAAAGGCACATGTGACCCAGCACCCTATCTCTGACCATGAGGCCACCCTGAGGTGCTGGGCCCTGGGCTTCTACCGTGTGGAGATCAAACTGACCTGGCAGCGGGATGGGGAGGACCACACCCAGGACATGGAGCTTGTGGATACCAGGCCAGTGGGGGATGGAACCTTCCAGAAGTGGGTGGCTGTGGTGGTGCCTTCTGGAGAGGAGCAGAGATACACGTGCCATGTGCAGCATGAGGAACTACCTGAGCCCCTCACCCTGAGATGGAGTAAGGAGGAGAATGGGGGCATCATATCTCTTCTCAGGGAAAGCAGGAGCCTTTCTGGAGCCCTTCAGCAGGGTCAGGGCTGAGGCCTGGAGTTCAGGGCCCCTGACCCTCCCCTCTTTTCCCAGAGCCGTTTTCCCAGCCCACCATCCCCATCATGGGCATCATCACTGGACTGGCCGTCCTGGGAGCTGTGGCCACTGTAGCTGTGGTCACTGCTGTGATGTGGAGGAAGAGCTCAGGTAGGGAAGGGGTGAGGGGTGGGGTCTGGGTTTTCTTGTCCCACTGGGGGTTTCAAGCCTCAGATAGAAGTGTGTCCTGCCTTGGTGCTGGGAAGCACCATCCACACATGGCTGACCCAGCCTGGGGCCCTGTGTGCCAGCACTTATTCTTTTGTGAAACACATGTGACAGTGAAGGACAGATGTATCACCTTGATGATTGTGGTGATGGGTCCTGATCCCAGTAGTCACAGGTCACAGAGGAAAGTCTCTGCTGAGGACAGATCTCAGGAGGGCAATTGGTCCAGGACCCACACCTGCTTTCCTCATGTTTCCTGATCCTGCCCTGGGTCCATAGTCATAGTTCTGGAAACTTTTCTTGAGTCCAAGACTAGGAGGTTCCTCTAAGACCTCATGGCTCTACCTCCTCCCTAGCCCTTCACAGGACATTTTCTTTCCCATAGGTGGAAAAGGAGGGAGCTACTCTCAGGCTGCTTGTAAGTGGCAGGGAGTGTGGAGGAGCTCACTCACCCCACAATTCCTCCTCTAGCCACATCTCCTGCAGGCTCTGACTAGGTCCTGTTTTTGTTCGACCCCAGGCAGTGACAGTGCCCAGGACTCTGATATGTCTCTCACAGCTTATAAAGGTGAGGCCCTGGGAGGTCTGAAGTGGGTGGGGGGTGGGGCAGAGGAGACAGGATTGGGTTATAGGGATTCTTTGGGACATTTTGGGTGGGTGGTGGGCTATTCAGGTGTCATCACTTACCAGGACTGACTTGTATTTGACTATTTTCTTCTGTAGCCTGAGTAGCCTGAGACAGTTGCCTTGTGTGGGACTGAGATGTCGGATTTCTTCAAGCCTCCTCTGTGTGACTCCAGGAGCCTCTGGCATGTCTTTCTGCAAAGGCATCTGAATGTGTCTGCGTCCCTGTTAGCATAATGTGAGGAGGTGGAGAGACAGCCCACCCCGTGTCCACCGTGACCCCTGTCCCCACGATGACCTGTGTTCCCTCCCCAGTCATCTTTCCTGTTCCAGAGACCTGGGGCTGGGTGTCTCCGTCTCTGTCTCAACTTTGTGGTGAACTGAGCTGCAACCTCTCACTTCCCTACTGAAAATAAGAATGTGAATATAAATTTCTTTTCTGATTCTTGCCATGAGAGGTTGATGGGTTAATTAAAGGAGAGGATTCCTAAAATTTGAGAGAGGAAATAAATGAAAAGCCTGAGAACCTTCCAGAATCCGCATGTTCGCTGTGCTGAGTCTGTTGCAGGTGGGGATGGAGAAGGCTGTGAGGAGCCGAGTGTGGGCGGGGCCTGTGCCCAGCTGCAGCTGAGTCCATCGTGGGCTTTATGTGGTCAGTCCTTAGCTGTGTCAGCTTCACTGCTCCATTGTCCTTGTCCCTTCAGTGGAAACTTGTCCCATGGGAGCTGTGACCACAGAAGCTCACACATTGCCCAGGGCAGCCCCTGCACACGGGAGTCTCTGTGTTTCTGAGATAAATTTTCAGACCCATTCAGCTCCTGGCCTCCTTCTAGGGCCCCTCTTCTGCTCTGCTCTCCTGCCCTCTCTCCCTGCCCTGGTTCTAGTGATCTTGGTGCTGGCTCCAATCCCAACTCATGAATCTAAAGCAGAGGCTAATTTAGACTTAAATTTGTTTGTGAAATTGGGCCCATAGTCTAGAATTGTTCTTTCCTGAAGAGAGAAACCTGGTTGTGTTCTGCAGTGTGCATGGGGGTTGGTGTGCGAGGAGGGTTAGAGGTGGGACACCGCAAGCAGCCCTGCTGAGAAAAGCACAGGCGGCCTGGATGTCACTGTGAGGGGACCTTGCACTGTAGCTGCCGCAAAACAGCATTTGGCCTGAGTCTGTGTTAACAAGGATACTGTCTAGAATAGGAGGTGCTCTACAGTGATCATTCATTCAACTGACCTTTGTTGTCAGCCCAGACATAGGACAGAGTGGTTCTGCATCTGGGGAACATCACTGAAGTAAAATCAGAAAAATCTCTGACCTTGTGGAGCGTGTGTTCCAGTGGGAAGAGGCAGATGATAGATAACACTATAAGCAGAATAAGAAAGGAAAGTGCTAGAAGGTGGTAAGTGCAGTGAGGCAGGTGATCCACGGTGTGGGCAGTGGGGACAGGGAAGGTGGCTGTTGTGCTGGGTGGTCAGTGTGCACCACGTTGCAAAGGTGACCTTTGAGGAAAGAGTTGAGGGAATTGTGAGTGTCCACTAGGATGTCTGGGGAAGTTCTTACAAGCAGGGGGAACCTCCACAGCAAAGGCACGAGGTCAGGAAGGTGTCTGTTCCCAGAAGAGCAAGGAGGCCAGGAAGGCTGGACAGAGAGAAACTGAGGTGAGGTCAGAGGTGCGGCCACACACCTCTGGGCCTGTAGGGAGTGGAGAAAGATCTGACCTTTGCTCTGAGTGAGGAGGGAGTTGGAGGACAATTTTGAGGAGAAGAGAACATGGTGGGTATGACTTCTTTTTTAAAAGGCTCTCTCTGATCACTGTGCTGAAAACGGAATTGAGAGGTGAGGGCGAGGGAGGCAGAAGGGAAAGCAGTAGGAAACGAGTGCGGTATTCCAGGCTGGAAACACCAGTTACCTGGAGTGAGCAGGGGAAATAGTGGGACGTGAGGGGATTCTGGATGCATTTTAAGATGGACTCAGAGCATTTGCCAATGGATTGTATCTGTGGTGTGAGAAGGAAGAATCAAGGACACCCATAGTTGTAAAATGAGTGAGTAGAAGGAAGGCTGGAGCTGCTGTGAGTGGAGATGGGGGGACTCTGGCAGGAGCTTATTTTAAGAGGGGGCATCCCAGGCGCTCAGTGGAGACGTCTATTAGGAATGCAGGTGAAGTAGCTGGGGTGGCAATTGGATGGTCAAGTCCAGATTTTAGAGGAAAGGACTGGGCTGGAGAAATAGACTTAGGTCACACCGTATAAATGATACTTAAAACCTCAAGCATGGATGAGGGCACCAAGGCAGTGACTGGCTATAAAAGAGAACAAGAGGAAAGACTGGGCCCTGGACCTCCAGTGCTAAGGGATCTGATCAGACCACACTCAGAGCAGACTGCACAGTTCTGACCCCACGCCCAGAAGACAAAGACCTTCCCATCTGCACAGGCATCACCTGAACGTGATGCTGAGATCCAGGAAGTCTGGAGTCAAGCAAGAGATTCTGGATTTACGACAAGGAGCTCCTGCTGCTGGTCTCCAGATCACAATTGGAATAAAAAGAACACCAGAATTCCACATGTCTGTGCATCAGCCTCGCCTGTAGGGCTTGTTATATAAGCAGTTCATGGTCTTGTGCGTAATACTCTGAGCCAGAGGTTTTGGGGAGAGGTCTGAGTATTTTTTGAGCCCCCACCATCAATCCTGTTGCTTGGACAGATCAGGAACCACAGAGATTAGTGATCAGAGAGTGCCCAACGTGGGTGGGTGAGGTGGGTTTTCAAATCCTGTTCAACAGCATTTTTTTTCCTCAGAAAGAAAAGAGAGATAAGCTGGGATCTGAAATTTTTGACTTGCATCTGACGTGTGTACAGTCCTGTGGGACTGAGATTATAAAATGTGATGTTCCCCATTGTTCTCTCCACCATAGGGTGGATGCCGGTAGATAATTCAGGGTGCGGCTCTCAGCTCTGCACAAAGAAACTTCTGAATGCTGCTCTCTGACACTCATCCACAGACTGATTTCTCACTGACATTTTTTTTTGCGACAGAGTCTCGCTCTGTCCCCAGGCTGGAGTTCAGTGGTACGATCTTGGCTCACTACAACCTCCGCCTCCTGGGTTCAAGCGATTCTCCTGCCTCAGCCTCCCAAGTAGCTGGGATTACAGGTGAGGGCCACCCACGCCCAGTTAATTTTTGTATTTTTAGTAGAGACAGGGTTTCACCATGTTGGACAAGATGGTCTCGATCTCTTAACCTCATGATCCACCCGCCTCAGCCTCCCAAAGTGCTGGGATTACAGGTGTGAGCCACTGTGCCTGGCCTCTCACTCACTTGTTGTGGCAAACTATGGAAACCAAATTTTTCTAATTCACACAAAAAGCAGTATATAAGGAATTTTGGACTAATTTTATTATGGGGAAGGCCGCAGAGCCAGGCTTGAAACTGCATAGCCAGGAACAGAATCCATAGCCCACCCTAGGTCAAGTCCCTCCTAGGAACAACTGCCCCTGCTGCTGAGCACAGACACTGCTGCTCACACCTCTGACACCCTGGTGCTGGACCTGGACCCAGTGGCTGGGACAGATGTCACTGCTGTGCCTGGCAGCTTGACATAACTACTGCCACTCAGTCATCTTTACCAAAATGTGTTCTGCATAGTCCCAGCCGCTCTGTGTCACCTCATTCTGGCTCAGAGTCTGGCAGGTGGTCGCCTGACTGGTGGAGGCTAAAACTCATGTCCATGATCAACCTCAGGGGTGACTGGAGTATTGTCCTCTTCCAGGGAGGGAGGTGGTTTCTGTCTTCTCCCTAGACTTTACATGTTGTAAACCAAAAATAAACTTCAAAACCCCCGCTCCCAACCATCTTAATGGACTCTCTCCTCAGCCAGAGCACTCAAAAGTTAACCTGAAAGCCCTGCTCAGGCCAAGGGGGAGATCAGACGTGCCTCATTATGCCTCTTCCCTTTTGGAATTCAGGAAAAGCTGACCAGCATTTAACATCAACACAGAACTTGGCCGGGCGCGGTGGCTCACGTCTGTAATCCCAGCACTTTGGGAGGCCGAGGCGGGTGGATCACCTGAGGTCAGGAGTTCAAGACCAGACTGGTCAACATGGTGAAACCCCATCTCCAAAAAGAAAAAAAAATTTTTTTTTAAACAACAACAACAAAAAACATCAACACAGAACTCAAGTCTGACAAGAAACATTTAAAATTTATTCTCTCTGAAGCTTGCCACCTGGAGGCTTCATCTTGATGATAAAACTTCGGTCTCCACAACCTCTCTTGGACATTCCTTTCTATTGGTAACAACTTAACTAATTTTTTTTTTTAACCAATCATCATTTTAAAATCGACTTATAACCTATAAACACCATCCCCTGCCACCTGGCCTGCTGCTTCAAGTTGTCCTGCCTTTCTGGACCAAACCAATGTATGTCTTAAATGTATTTGACTGATGTCTTATATCTTCCTAAAATGTATAAAACCAACCTGCACCCCAATCGCATTGAACACATGCTCTCAGCGTCTCCTCAGGGCTGCGTAACGGGCTGCGGTCACGCATATTTGGCTCAAAATAAATCTCTTCACATATTTTACAGAGTTGAAGTCTTTTTATCAACAGTGTGGAATTCTGATGTCGTAAGAGGGTTCAAGTGCTGGAATGTGATGGATGGGAAAAGAACGACAAATTTTAATGCCTAGTAGGCAATCGGGATGGCTGAATGAACCAGTGACTAGTACATAGCATCTTTCCACACATTCC